TAATATTAATTAGTTTGAGTACGAAAATAAGTTTCATGTGGCTATTTTGAGATTTATATAGTTCACGATTTGGTTTTTCTTTATTTATTTTTATTGTTGTTTCATCAAATCGATTGACAAATCATTTAACAGAAATATGTTTTTTGTTTAAGCTGATGTCACAATTGTATTTGGCAGTTTTGAAGAGGCTAAAAGTCACTTGTAAATATAATACTTAATTTTATTGTTGTTTATCAACGTTATGTGTGTACGACATTTATATATATATATATATATGCAAAAGTCGCGGGCGGGCGTGCACAGGCTGTGACGATGATCAGGTTTTTGCAGCTGCAGCTGCCTCAAAAGAGCGAGAAAAAAGAAAACAATTAAATGAGAAAAACTGCTGCGAGGACAACGCTTAAGTTTGAATTTGCAACTTAATTAAGAAATATTTTAGCGGCCTAGCATTTGCCTTTGAGCTGCAATGTGACTCACATTTCGAACCAAAAACAACAATATTTTTTTTTATCACAATATAAACATATACACGTAGAATGCAATGCAATTGTATTGGTACGCACACCATTTTTTCTGAATATATATTGTATAATGTGCATTTCTCTTTTGTTTTTTGTTTTCAGCTACTGTTTCAGCTAGCTCTGCCGCTGCCCAAATTTCATTGCTCTCAAAGTCCCGTACTCCAGTTATATTAAGCAAAGCGGCCGTGGAGAAAATCCGTTTGAAGTTTGGTCAGGTGCAGGCGCAGGTAAACGCCGGTGCGCTTTTTTTAACTAAATCGCTCAAGACCAGCGCCATCAATACCAACAATACCAACAACAAAAGCGGCAATTCTAGGCCAGCACCGGAGACAGCAGGAGCAACGCAGCCGGCAGTACAAAAGCCTTCAGGCGTTGTGGCCACGTCCATGCCCACGCCAATGCCTGCGCCCATGCCGACGCCCATGCCCGCGCCCATGCCTACGCCTATGCCCTTGCCCATGCCAATGCCCAGCAATGCTCTGCCAGAGATCAAGATCAGTCCGCTGCCTGCCGTCGCTCTGAATGGTGCCAAAATCATGAAAGTACAGGCGAGCCCATTGGCTGTGATTATGCCAACAGTGCCAGCGCCAGTGCAAGCTCCAACAGCAACAACCACAATGATGCAACCAAGTGTGCAACAGGGTTCACCCAAGCTGCAGCGCTCCAAGTCGTTGGCGGGCAATGAGGAAAATGCGGCTGTCGTATTGATACAAAGCAATGCCACTGAGCGGCGACATTCGGTAGCCATTATGGCCAAGGAAGTGGATGTGGTGGAGCAGTCAAAGCCCATCGAAACCATAACCATAGACGACGATGACAGCGAGGAGGAAAAGGAGGCACAACAAAATCAGCAGCAGGCTAAAAGACAGCAGCTGGCACAAAAGATGCAGCAACAGAAACCACAACAACAACAACAACAACAACAGAAAACACCCACAACATCTACACAAACATCGAGAAAAAACTCAACAGCCAGTCGCAGCAGCATCACCAGCAGCAGCAGTAGCGATGTGGAAATGATCATTGTGCCGGAGGAGGTGCGGCCTAAGCAACTGGAAACAAAGCAACCAGCCAATGGCGCCATTATAAATATTGTTAAGGCTGAAACGCTGTCGCTCTCCAAGGAGGAATTTGAGAAATCGCTGCGTTGCGATGAGCACGTGGACAATAGTTCGCCCTCTTCCGTGTGCACTAATCACACCTCAAAATCGGGCACCATCACGTTAACGCCCATTTCCCGGCTTCAACATAATGGCGTGGAGCCGAAAACGGCTGCTGCTGTTGCATTAAACACTTTTAAGCGTAGCATGCAACAGCATTTCGGCATGCTGCGCTGGCGAGAGAAACAACCGGGAATGCTGCAGAATTCCACAATGCGCTTCGAACTTAATCGCTACAATTTGCTGCAGTTGGCGGAGCGCTGTGATTCGCGACAGGGTCCAGCCAGCTACTTTGAGCGCGCGCTATTTGATCGTCCCGTACGCCGACCCAACAGCACCACCCATCCATTACTCTATTTGTGCTCGCGCTGCAACTGTCATGGACCTGCCTCGGATTTTCTGGCACCGCGTGAGTAAAAATCATGAGCTAAACAAACTGTGCGCACACTAAACTTTTCTTTCTTTGCAGGTTTCTGCTCATTTAGCTGTGTGCGACGAGCGCATAAACGTCGACAGCTTAATCCGCCTAGCGCGGCCAGCGAGAGTAAAATAAGTCGCATGCAGGAGCCAAAGGTCGTTAATGGTCACCTACAGCAACAGAACCAGCTGCAGCAGCAGCAAATGCAGCTGCAACAGCAACTGCAACGAGAACAGGAACGCGAACGCGAACGCGAGCGTAAATCAACTGCCGCAAAGCGACCTTTTCGCTGGACCGAATATCTCAAACTGAAGACCAATGGTGATGCGGCGCCTATACATCTTTTCCTCAATCCATTTCCCATCAAACCCAATTGCTTCAAGCGTGGCATGAAACTGGAGGCCATTGATCCGGAGAATTGTTCGCTATTCTGCGTCTGCACCATTGTTGAGGTGCGTGGCTATCGCTTGAAGCTGAACTTTGATGGCTATTCGAGCATGTATGATTTTTGGGTGAACGCCGATTCCATGGACATCTTTCCGCCGGGCTGGTGCGAACGCACCTCGCACGTTCTGCAAGCGCCCAAAGGCTATTGCCCGGATCGTTTCACATGGTATCGCTATCTGGTCAAGACCAAGGCAAAGGCAGCGCCTTCTACACTCTTCACCCATCTCAATGCAACCAAGCATACACAAAAGAATAACTTCAGTGTAGGCATGCATCTGGAGGCGGAGGATTTAAATGATACAGGCAAAATTTGTGTGGCTACCGTGGCAGATATACTGGACGAGCGTATACGTGTACATTTTGATGGCTGGGACGATTGCTACGACTTCTGGGTGCATATCAACTCGCCCTACATACATCCCTGCGGCTGGCATGAGGGTCGCCAGCAGCTGATCGTGCCACCAGACTATCAGAATCTTTTGTTCAACTGGGCTGACTATATTGAGGAAGTGGGCGGCATTGCGGCGCCCGCGGATCTTTTTAAACCACGAGAGCCCATGGAGTTTCAAGCGCGCATGAAACTCGAGGTTGTCGATCAGCGTAATCCCTGCCTGATACGACCAGCGACGGTGGTCACACGCAAGGGCTATCGCATCCAACTGCATCTGGATTGCTGGCCAGCGGAGTACTATTTTTGGCTGGAAGACGATAGTCCTGATTTGCATCCGATTGGCTGGTGTGAGGCCACCTCACATGAACTAGAAGTACCGCCGGGCTTCCAGCAGCGTGCCTCTCTAATGCCCTGCGACGTGGCAGGCTGCCGCGGCTTTGGCAACGCCAAACGCTTCAATCTAAATGTGCACGCCCTACGTGATTGCTGTCCCTATGCGCCGGAGAACTGGCGCCAGTGGCGTGCGAAGACAGTGAAGCCGCCACGCGTTCTACCTGAGCATATCAAGCGAACTGAGTCACCTAAGCCGCTGCCGCAGCCGCAACCGCAGCCGCAGCCTATTAAGATACCCTCACCCATTTTTGAAAGCCAGTTAAACACGAATCCGAAGCCAGCGCTTGTCAATGTTAAAACATACGTAAAAGCGAAGAAATCACGACCGAGCCTGGACTGCGAACCAAAACCCAAGCTCAAGCGTGAGGAGCCCAAGCCGTTGTCCATTGAAATCAAGCCAGAGCCTGTCCTAAAATCTGCCGAAGATGAACCCATGGATCTAAATCCGCACTGCCTGTCCATAGCCAAGACCATTGTGGCGGAATATGGGCCACAATTTGCGCGCAATTATCGCTTGTGGCAAAAGAACAGCGATTTTGACATGGCGCAGCTTAAGAGCAATCCGCTCTACTGGACCAACTGGGATGTCTATGAGTTTGTTGAGCGTGCGCTGAAATCCTCAAGCATTGCTCAATTGCTCTTTGACGAGGAGATCGATGGACGCGCTCTTTTAATGATGGGACGCAAAGATTTGGCTACCTACTTCAAGCTTAAAGTGGGTCCAACGGTAAAACTCTTCTCACTGATTGTCAATCTCCGGATTGCGGTCGCGTGTAAGTTTGACACCAAGGAGACGGGTCTCAATTTTAACCGGGTCAGATGTTCAACACTGCCTAGCAAACAGGAACCGGTGGAGAATAAACCAGAACTCAAAACAGACAATCATTTGACTGCAACGCCAAATGGCTTGGAGCAAGCCGAGCTTGTGGATAGCTCAGCAGAACAAGATAATCTTGAAGAGGAGCGAGAAGAGGAAGCTGACGAAAATGATGTGGATGATGATTATTCAGAGCATCCAGAACGAGAGCTTACTGACGAGGAGGACGTTGTGCTGGACAGCGAGGATTTTCTTAGCGTTAAGCCCATACACAGCATTGTCAACAATGTGCGAACTATTGATGATACTGATTCGGATGTTATTATGACGCCCCACGATGTGCTGCCCGTGACTGTATCATAGGGCGCCCCATCCGCCGCCAGCCATTATGTTTCAAGCACGTTTAGTTTTTAAGTCAATTTTTATCAACTTATAACTATGGAAATTCAGTTTAATTAGTTGACCTATTTCTATAAGATTTGTTGCGTTGGCTCGTTTTCATTTGATTGATATTGCGTATATTCTATTGATATGGTAATTATTCTTTAAGCGTTTCAATTAAAACTACTGTATAAAACGTTTATATCTTGTGCGACAATCATTTCTGCGAGTAAAAACTCCCTGCTAAAGATCACAGGCTCTCTAACCGTGTATTGCCTAACTGGTTTTGAACCGAGAGCCGAAAGATGCCTTAAATACTATCAGTTCTAAATCATGCATATAGATTATATTCAGGTCAATCGCTTGAACCACAAACCCGCCCATCGATAACTTCTTGGGTTAGCCAAGCTGCTTACCACACCCTTATGATTATTGGAAATGATCAGGTATTTGCCACTTAGCTAAAACTCGCTTGATCAGTGAGACATGCAACAGACCCAGGAGATCACAATGCACCTGACTTTATTCATAAATATTTAATACGCAAGAGAAAATTCATTTTTGGCTATTTCTTTTTGAATTTCGAGATGTCGTTCGCTTCGGTGTTCTCTGCAATGTTCGTTTTTCCGCTTCTGGTGGATCTGCTGCATTCTTTAACTTGTTTGGCACAGGCCGGGCCTCGTCCTCGTTAGATGCCGGCAATTCTTGGACTTTAGCTTCGTCCTCGTTGGATGCTGGCAATTGTTCGTCTTTAGGTTCGTCCTCGTTGGATGCTGGCAATTGTTCGTCTTTAGGTTCGCCCTCGTTAGATGCTGGCAATTGTTCGTTTTTAGGTTCGTCCTCGTTAGATGCTGGTTTTGTTTGTGGTCCAGCTGCGTCCTCTTGAGGTGTTGGCGATTGTGGTAGTTCAGCTTCTTTTGAGTCTTCCTCTACAACCGGTTCCAGTTCTTTTGGCGATACCGCTGCTTCTGGTTCATTTTCGTCATCGTCACTTATGGCCAAGGTGCCGTCCGCCTCGAAGAGGGGCTCGCCAAATAGATGCGTCACCTCGACAAATTGCTGAAAGCACGCCATATTTCTATAATGCAAATTATTGTATACCTGATATTTCTTCAAGGACAGCAGCAGCTTCTGATCTGAAACGGTGCCCGCGCTTTTCAAAATGACCATCAGTGCATGCAGCTCCTTAACGGTGAATTTGAGAAAAGAGTTGTCATCGAGCAGCTTATTCGCAAAGGGCACAATTTTCTGTAGTTCATGTAAGAATTAAATTTATATATTACAAATTCATCAATTATCAGACCACTCCTTACCTTTCCCACCAGCTTCATCATGGCCGGTCGATTATGCTCGTTGGCCAGCTGAAAGATTTTCAGCACCGTGCCCATTGGCCAATTCTGGTTGGCCAACTTGCCAATGTAACCATCGACAAAGTCGGGCATCTTATATTTGGTTGCCAAATAGATCAGATCTGGACACATCTCGATGGTTATGTCATTGTATATCTCATAGGTGTAGATGTAGAGCAGCAGGGTCTCGTATGCATCGGGCGAGGCATCATTCACGTTCATCACCAGCATGTTTCTATCGAAGTCCGTCTCTTGGAACATGCGCTCGAACTCCTCCGAGGCGGAGGCCAGCATTACCTTGTGGCACTGAAACTGGCGGCAGCAGCTCTTCTTATACTTATCCGTATACCACACATGCAGCTCACAGTCCGACAATTGCCCACTACGGAGCAATTCTAGGCGACGTAACTTGCAAAACATCATATGGAAAATTTTTAAATACTATAAAAATTTTTAACATAACCGATTGCTTGGAGTCGTAAAAGTAAAATACTTGTGTTTTCGGTATTTGATTTATAAATTCCCTAATATAGCAGCCTGTTGAAAATAGGTTTTTCCAAGGTTTTGTTTATTCCATTTTTGTTTAAACTTTGTTTAAATTGTTAGTTAAAAATGTCAAACTCTCAAAGAAACAGCAATCGGCCATCAGTCTCACAAAGTCCACCGACAGGCGATCCCGAACCTAATACTGGTGACGGTGCTGTTGATGCACCGGAGACTTCTGATGACAATGCGGCGTGGAATACGGATGATGATGGTGCTGCTGCTGCTGCTGCTGCTATATCACCAACGGGCGAACTGACAGAGAGTCCAAGTAACTTGGATATTCCGTCAACCAAGCGGCGTCGACTCGAATATTTTCGCAATGGAATTGATGCCGATTGCGAGGTGCATGTGCCCAAGATGACCGACGGTGTCAATGAGGGTGGCAATGTCTGTTATAAGAAATTTAAATGTCATCGCATATTTTTGGCAACCGCTTCGGAAAAACTCGAGCAGGATGTTTTTCAAAATAAACAATGGAACGGGGTATTACAAATTAATGGCGTCTCACCGGAGAGTGTGGAAATATTTTTGGAATTTATTTATACATTTGAGATAACATCCTCTCAAATCAATCTGCTCATCATTGGGGATATATTCATTCTGTCCTGTGCATATAATTTGCCCGACTTTTTGCTCAAGTTCTCGCAACAGCTCAAAAATATTAACTGGCCATTGGAGGGCATATTTCCCGCCTTCAATTTGGCTTTTCGCCACAATATTTACGATCTGGAAAATGTCTGCCTAACAGTAAGTTGTTTTTTTTTTTTAATTCATTTAAGTACCCATACTAATTCTCTATTACCGGGTTCTATAATTGCAAACCCTTGCAGAAAATTTTAGAAAATGCAGAAACGCTCAAATCCGAGCCGGGAATTATAGAACTGCAGACATACGCCTTCAATTTCGTCATCCAGCATTGGCTGGCCACAGAAGTATATATTCATTTTAAATTGTTGAGAAGTCAAATATTGTTCCCTTTTTACTTTTTACCAGGCGCTATCCACAAACGAAATAATCCAACTACTGCAGCAATACCAGAAGGAAAATAATTTAACATTTAAAAACTCGCAACAATTTCCACATTTCATAAAGATTATCAAATACTTCCCTACCGTGCTCCTAGACGCCGAAGGATTCATACATAAATATTGATTAAATTTGATCGTAATGGTTAACAAGTTCGATTGTTCGATTATTTAAATTAACTGACGACCAGAGTATGCCTTAACATAGCTATGCCTATTCACAGACGTCTAAAATGTCTCTGTAGTAAAATTGCAAATTGAAAATTTTTTTAACATTATCTTATAAGATCGGCTTTTATGCAGCCCTGCTCTACTCAAATTTGTTATACTGACAATTAATGCAAAAGTATCTCGTGTTATCGATTTACCACAGTTTGGCGAACCATTAAAACTTGCTCCGGTCTGGTTACATATACCTTATTACGAAAGCAAGAAAAATTACGTTCGGCTGAAAGCTAATAATATTAACTGCTCAGGCGCTCATTCAAGAAACATAAGAGATTTATTTTAAATTTTGGCTTATGTTCAAATATTGATTATATAATTAAAATTTTTCTTCCCACAAAATTTGCGTTAAATTGTAGAGAGTATGTTCGATTTATCGAGCGAACCAACAAAATTAATGCGGCACTTGCAACGAGTTCGTTTTGCAACTATCGATATATTTAGCCATCCCTATGTAGACTTCAACTTGTGGTTTTTGTACAGCATTTTTCCGGGTGTTACAGTGTTACAGTGCTTAAAAAATATAAATAGCAAATTACAAGTAGTGTAAACAATTCTCAAAGCTAGTACACGTGCAATAAAAAAAACCTGGAAAAGTGTTGCTCGTTTGTTACAGCAATGAAAGGCAGTTAATGGTTCGCTACTTAGATTTTCGTTGCCGACGTCGGATCTCTTATACAGATATAGTAAACGGCGCAATCGCCAGAACGAAACTACACTTCCCACTGTGCAGTAGACATAAAGTAATTGGATTTTTTTAAATGCTTCAAATAGTAGTTGGCGTTAGGTGCGTTTAAATAGATATATTTATTGTGTTTTTTTGTGGCGCATGTTTTGTTTTCTTGTGCACTGTACACCACATCACTATGCTTGTGTTTTATATGTGTGTGTCTGTGTTAGTGACTTTGTACACATTTTAGGCGGTGTGGTGTGAGGCCCTCGCAGTGCGCTCGATAATTATCGCTGCCATTTGTTCATCGATAGACATTGGGGGTGAAATGCGCGCGAAACGACTATGGGGGCTAGCATACAAACATACATGTACATAAGTGCATGCATACATAAAATACATTTAATTGAATCATGTATGAGTATATTGAAAAATTCATAAACCACTTTATTCGCTTGCAGTTAATGTTTCGGGTTCTGTCAGTTTAAGAATTTGCACACGATTCATTCAGCAATTAATCCAACATGGAGGAAATATCCAGTCTTGATTCCTTTGGTGCTGATTCAAGCGCAAGGCCTGAATCGGAGACATCAAAATTGGACGACGATAACTCGAGGGACAAAATGGAAACAACGGCAGCTTTGCAAGATACACCAGCATCTCCATCAGAAGAGGACGTACCTGCTGAAAGTGTCATCACAGACGCAAACATACCTGATAAGCCAACTGCAGCGCCAGCAACAGGCGAAGATGACGATTTTGAGCAGATATCAGAGGGCTCTTTGGACATGGATGAAGGCCAATCACGAGAGAAAATTGATACTGTCAGAAATGATGAACAAGATCCGACACCTAAAGACAGGGAAGAGTTGGAAGAAGTAGAACCCAGCGCTGCTAACGCAAACGCAGAGGATGCCGCGGAACTAGACACTCAGCCAACAGTAGCTGACGAGGAGCAGGAACATTGCAATATCGATGAAAGCGCTGATACAGATGCCATGCAACAACGCGACGCGTTTGAAAATGTGGTGGCCGATGCGGAAGTCCCCGAAAGTGATGCCGTCGATGGTGCTCCCGCCTCAATGGAAGCAATGGATGTAGACGACGGTGGTGCTGAAGCTGGAACTGCGCCCGCAAGCACGACTGAAGAGCCAGCTGGCGATGTTGATGACATTGAAATGCGCTCAGAAGGCGGCGATTCCCGACATGCAGCTGCTGAGGAGGACGACGCGATTGACAAAAATATAGAAGACACACCTTCCGAGGGCAGAGACGAGGTTGATAGAACAGATGAACTAGATCAAGATGCTTCTGGAGCCAATGAAAATGTATCGATACGTGGAGATGATAATGCTGATGCTGAAGCTGAGCAAACGGAAGATGCTCCCGAAGCCGAGCAACAGGAAGAACCTGCCGAAGCTGAGCAGTTGGAAGAAGCAGGCGAATCAGAGCAGCTGGAAGAAGCTGCCGAAGCAGAGCACGGAGATGGTAAGCGTAATTAAAGTTAAAGCAAATCATAAGTTGCTAAATATTAATATTTTATTTTGCAGAAACCGTTGAGAACGTTTTGGAGCCCGAGGAGTCGGATGTTTGTCTGATACCGGATGATCCCGAAACGGAAGTAACAGAAGCCGAAAAGGAACTGGCACGCGAAAATGCAGAAAAGGCAGCTGAGGAGGAAGAAGCCGCCGAGCAAACGCAATCAGGATTGAAATCACCCGTCACTGAGGTAGGCGCCGCAATGGAAACACACAATGATGAAGATGATGCAGCGGCTGATGTAAATGAATCAACGGATGACTTGTCGGGAACAGCAAATGGTAAGCAACATTGACATGTAAAATTAATTTAATTGTTAAGCTAAGATATCTTTGCTCTCTGTATGCTCTTGTTTAATCCCACATTTGAGCAGCAGAGGCTCAGGCTGATAAGCAAGCTGGAGCCGAGGTTTCAGTATGTGCTGAAGGTGAGCTTGGGTGCATGTTGGGTGGGGCATTAAAAATTATCACTTTTGTACAATTTCTAGATTTATATTTTAAAGAAATAGCAATAAAGTAGGGAGTGCATAAATAAGTTATACAAGGTATAAATAAATTTCATAAATTCAAGAAATACTTAAAGATTTTTTTCCAATGAGAAATAAAGGTGGAATAAATACAAAGCTTTTAACATAAAATACGAGTAACTAAGTAAAGTAGAATGCAACTGCGTGAGAGTAAAGATAACGTGAAGGATAGGGCGAGTGATAGAGGCACAAATAGAGAAAAATTGCATACTTATTTACATACAAACATAGAGAGATTTCTCCTGTTAGATACAATCGGACAACTTTATTACACCTAAAATTAATGTGTCAGGTCATAATGAATACCGATTAATTAAACTCTCCCTTATTCAGCAAATACAACTACAAACGATGATGATACTCCCGAAGCGGATGCGCCTGAAGCGGATGAGCCCAGCCATGAGGAAACGTCCGGTGCCGTTGCAGGCGAAGCAGGTGGCGCTGCCAAGGTGATCATATCCTGGATTGTGGGCAGTACACAAAAATGTCGGCAATGCGACACGGAAAAGAACTGCGGTTATCGCTTCAAAAATAACGAAGCGGATGCTGGTGAAAATGCCGACGAGCCAACAGCATCTGAAGAAGTAGCAATTGCCGGCACGTTTGAGTATCTATGCGATCAGGCATGCTGTGATGCATTTTTGGCTGCACAGCCGGGCCAATACTTTTTGCGGCGCAAGAAGTTCCTTGTCGAGGAGGTCAGTCAGGAGGGCAGCGGAGCGGCTGCCGTTGGTGATGAGCCAAATGACAACGCGGAGGCTGCTGCTGATGGTGACGCAGAAGGCGAGAGTGCGACGGGCAATACACACACCTGCCTGCAGTGCAAGGAGCAAATCAATTGCAAATACTTTCTGAGGCAAGAGCTGGATACTTACTACATATGCAACGATGATTGCTTTAATCTCTTAAATGCCGAAGAGCCGGACAAATACAAACTGAAGCGTCATTCGATACGCGTGCGCAATATTGGCGCTACCACAATACGTTCGCCCAGCAAGAAACCCGAAGCGAATGTGGTGGCTCGCACTAATGCGGAAGCGGAGGCAGCGCGTCTCGATCGAATGGAGAGCTTTAGACGACGTTGCGCCGATTGCCAGCAAGAAGTCAATGTGGGTGACAAGCAGCTCATCTGGGAGACGATGGACTTTTGCAACGAGGTGTGCCTGGGCAGCTATCAACGTGCATTTGGCGGTAATTGTGAGACTTGCAAACAGGAGGTCAGCTCCATAGCGCTGGGCAAGTACTGTGTGCGTTTTGGCTTTGAAGTGCGGCAGTTTTGTTGTGCTGCTTGCCTCAACACGTACAAGAAGGGCTTGAAGACGTGCAGCTGCTGTCAGAAGGACATAAGCAGCGGACAGGAAGGTTTCCTAGCGCCCGTTGGCGATAAAGATCAGTTCAAAGACTTTTGCTCGCAAGTGTGTCTGCGGCGCTACGACAACATGTGCAATCCTAAGAAGAAACTGCGCACAGACATGTGCGGTGTTTGCAACAACGAAAAACCCGTACGTGTGGAAATGCTGCTGGAGGACAAGGAGCATTATTTCTGCTCGAATCCCTGCTTCTCAGCGTTCAAGTTTGTGAGCAACGTCAATGCCGATCCCTGCGCCATGTGCTGCAAGTACTTTGAGCGGAAGAGCGTCGATGCGTTTACCATCTACAGCAACGATCAGCAGACGCCAAAAATGTTTTGTTCGCGAATCTGCATCAATGTGTATATCATTGTCAATCGTCATATTGTGTCCTGCCAGTGGTGCAAGGTGAAGAAGTATAATTTTGATATGATTTATAAGCAGCACGGTGATCAAGAGACGCTCACCTGTTCTATCAACTGCCTGACCATGCATGGCGTTAGCTGCAACATATCGGCACGCGCAGTAACCAAGTGCGACAATTGCAGCAACACAAGCACCCCGCAATACCATTTGACCATGTCGGATGCATCGATGCGCAATTTTTGTACATATCAGTGCGTAATGCAGTTCCAAAATCAGTTCGCCCGCACGCCGCTCACCTTAGACAGCGATCTGCCGTCGACGTCAGCAAACAAGACGCAACAGCAGCAACATTTGTCCGCCACACAAGCGCGTGGCAGCAACAAAAATGCTGCACCATTTCCCACCGGATTACCCAAGCGAGTGAAACTGAAGTTGGCACAGCAGCCGGTAAGTTTTTTTTAGCTCGTAACTGTATATT